TTAAAAATAAAAATAACCTTATATTAAGTACTTAAAAACTATAAAACGCTCTATTTAAAGCTAAGATCTAGCTTTAATATTAAAATAAAAATACTACGCTAAACTTATTTTTAAATATACGACGGCCCTTATTAATAATATTAAGTCGACTAGACGTATAATAAAAAACAAAAGAGACTAAATATAATAATTACTAATAAAGAGGCCTAGATTTATTAAATAAATAAAGATTTAACTTACGAATAGGGTAATAAAAAAATAATACTTTATTTATAAAAAGGATAGATATTAGTTAAATAACTACTTTAAAAAAGAGCGTATTAAATTATATAAATAGTATAAAAAGTTGAGGGTAATAAATAATAAAACTAGCCCTTATTAGTTTAGTTAATTCTTTATTATATATAAAAATAAATCTAGGGGTATAGAACTTAATAATAATAATTAAAATAGCGGCTTAAAATATTTACCCCCTATAAAAAATTTAAAAAATAAAGAAAATCTCGCCCCTTATATTAACAAATTAGATTATAACGAAATTAATAATATTAATTATTCTTTTTTTACCCTGTTAGTTTTTAAAAAATATACGAAGCTAAATAAATAAAAAGTAATAAAAGCCCTTAATAAGTAGGCTTTTATTTATAAATAATAAGGGAAAGTCTTTTAAATAGCGAATATAAGAGTAGATAAAAGGACGAATTTAATAATATAGAATTCTATTTTTTTAATACTTAAAGAAAAGATATTACTTTTATTAATATTAAAAAAAAAATAGTACTAAGTAATTCTAAGGGTAGCTAAAGGGGTCTTTTTTATATTACTTAGATTATTTAAATACTAAGCTTATATAAGTATTCTATATAAATAAAAAGTATAGTTTAAATTATTTTTATAAAATTATCTTAAATACTAAGGTATTATAATAGTTAATAAAAAGAAAAGGGTAATTTTAAGTATTATAGAAAATCGTATTAATAACGCTTAATATATTAATAATAAGTATTATAAGAATTAAATTTAGCCTAAGTAAAGAAATTATTACCCTAAGTATAATAAAAATAAAAACGTACTTCGGAACGATAACTTTTTATATTTTACTTATTAATACCCTATTTTTCTTATATTTAAAAGATATAAATTAACTAGGTATTATATTTAATAATACGAAAAATAGAATTTTTAATAATAAGTATTTTAAAATAGTTAAACGACGATAAGAGTACGCGTTTATAAAGCTTATTAATAATACGAAGTTAATTAATTATTTAATAGAAAATAAGCTTAAATAACTATATTAAAAATTCGAGTACTTATTAGTTACGAAGCTATATAACTTCTTAAAATAATTAAGTAATAATAATATCGAAATAGGGGTACTAGAATAGTTAATAAAAGTATATTATTAATACTAAATAAATACGCAAAGCTTATATAAATTTAAATTTAAATTACGTAATAAGCTTAACTTTAATTAAGAAATCGTTATTAATATTTTCTATTTAAATAGTCAACTAGTCCTATATATAATTAACGAGGCTATATTATTTTAAATAGGGTAATTCTTTTAGGATTTATAAATAAAAATAGTATAAGTAGCCCTATAAAAAAGCTAGATCGATATATACTAGGAACTACTAAATAGTATTAGAACCGATGCTAATACGAGTTTTAAATTAATAAAATTTAAAAAAAAAAAATATAATAGCTTATAGTATATAGCTAAAAGTCGTACTCGTAAAAGCGTATTATAGTATTAGAAAAGTAAAAAGGGTATATTAGTAATTAAAAAGGGCGTTTAGAATTATTAAAAAGGAAAATTCCGATTTTATTAACGACGAATATTTCTAAATAGTACTTAAGTATTATAATAATATTATAGGGCCTAATAGGCTTATATTAACGCTATTAATATTTAGAGTATACTTAAAAACGACTTTAGCCTCGCTATTATTACTAAATATAAACTAACGAGCCTAAGTAATTAAAAAAGTAATATAAATATTATATAAAGTAAATATAAAAAGGTAAATTAATAAGGTAATTATTATACGTAATAAGCCCAATATAGGGGCTAATTTAAATATATTTCTAAATTTAAATATATAGGTTTAATATAAAACTATTTAATAATAAGTTAAGTTATATAAATTAATTTCTATTAACGAGCGGTTTTATATAGTTATAAAAGATCGTAACTAGTTACTTAAAGTATTAATTATAATAGTTAAACTATATTATATAAATCCTATTAAGGTAATTTCTAACTTATAAAAAAAAAAGAGCTAAGGGAAACTATATAACCCGTAGTAGAGGTATAAGAAATTATTTTTAATAAAATAATCGTAGTAATATTAATAAATAATAAAGAAGAAGAAGTTATTAAAAAAGTATTAATATTATTAATAAGACGGTATAAAAGATTATAATAATAAGCCTTAACATAATAATTTATTATTAATAACAAGGTAATTAATACTTTTTATATAATAAAAGAAAAAGCCGATTTCGAACTAATAATTAAACTACGTAAAAAAAATATTATTATAATTATTAAAAAGCTATATAAGGGATTAGATCTTATTAAAATAAATACTTTATATAATCGAGGGGTTTATTAATTTATTTTTTATAACCCTAAAAAATATAAAAATCTCTATATATTTAAATTACGAATAGTATATAAAATTAAAGGAAAAAGAATACTCTAATTATATAAGAAATTTAGGTATATAATTTAGGAGTATAGCGACGTTAAAAAAGCGACGCTACTTACTTAATTACTTATAATATAGTACTATAATTAACGATTAATAATAATATTAATAATATTATTACGAAAAAAAGGATACGAGATTTAGAGCCGTAATATTAATTAAGCCTATATTTAATTAGCTAAAGGGTTTATAAAAAAAATCCTAGCTTATTTATTAAAAAAAATAGTTAGTAAGTACTTAAAAAATATAATTATCGAAGTACTTAAACTATTATATAGGCTCGTAAAATCGGGTACTTATTAATAAGCTATATACTACGATTTTTATATTAATTAATTATTAATAGTTATATTTATATACGACCCGTATTTATTAGTTTTTAAATATAAAAGTAAATAATTTAGAATTATTAAAATATAAACCGATAATATATTAAGCCTATTTAATATTAATTTTATAAAAAAAGAAGATAAAGAGCTTTAAAAAGCAGGTTTTATAATAAAGCTAAAAAAGGTCTTTATAATAAATAACTTATTAATATTTAATAATAGGATTTTTATAATTAAAAAAGAAACTATTATTTTTTAATAAAAGAGGTAGGGTAAGAGAATTAACTTTATTAACCCGAACGTAATTAATATTAAAAAATAATATAAAATTAAGCTTGCGCGAGGGGTATATATTATAAATATATATTAACTTAAAATAATTTTTAATTATATTAAAATAATATAAGCTATAGAATTAAATAAATAAAATATTAAAATACTTAATAAATAGCTTAAATAATAATAAACGAATTTTAATCAAAGCTTTATTTATTACTTAATTAACCTTATTATTAATAAGCTATATATTTTTATTAATAAGTTATTTATAAATAATAACGACCTTATTTTATAATTAGAATATATTATTATCTTAGTTAATAAGAGTATAAGTAAAAGTAAATTTATTATATATAATAATATAATTTATTACTTATTAATTAAGAATAAGTAAATAATAAAAAATATACTAATATTAGAAGTTTATAATATAATTAACGGCGTTAATTTTACTTATATAATTTTAATAACGTTAAAAAAGATTATTAATTAACTTAACCTTTCCCTAATTTTTATAATTATTTATACTAATTTTTATTTATTATATAAATACCTTATTAAATTAAAAAAAAAAAAAAAAAGAGGTTTATAATTAATATTATAATTTTTATATAATTATATAAAAAGCGCGAGATTTTTAAAATTTATTGAATTAATAATAATAATAACCTCGCTAATACTTTTATAAAAATAATACTTAATAAGGGGTTAAAATAATTCGTAAATAATAAAAGAATTAATATATAAATAAAAAAATAGGTTATATAAAAAAAATAAAAAAAAGAGAAAAAAAGAAATAATTTAATAAACGGGCCTAAGGTTAAATTATATTTCTAATTATAATAAATAAATTAATAAAAAAAAAGTTAGTATTAAATTAAAAATTTAATTTAACCGTAATATATAGCTAACTATATAGGGGCCCTATTTATAATTATTATAACTAACTTAATTTATAATTAAAGCCTCTTTTTTATACTTATATAAAAATTTATATAGTTTAATTAATCTCTTTATTAACTTACGGTTCGGGCTAACTACTTTATAATAGGGATACTAATAGATTAATAAATCCTCGCGTCTGATGCGGTATCTTAGGGCTTGCGGGAGACTTTGTGATTGACGAGATTGTCGAACTTAGAGTCAACGGCCTGCCTCTTTCCCACGACTTTACGTGTTTATCGCTATGGATCTTATCCTTTTTTTGCGCTTGAGCAACCCTGCCAGCCATCCGAAATCAGGGTACAATTTGTGGCCGTGAGTTTTTTTTATTGTTGGTTCAACTACCCACCGGAAACTCAGCGCCCACGTACAATTTTGCAGCCGACCCAAGCCTCACCTATCATGCTTGGGCAATTTACTGGGTCAAAAGGATATATCCCTAAGAAGCTACTAGCCTCCGAATTTCATGATGGCATGATGGAACGCCATGGCAATTATCCTCTTTCCTTCACGGTCTGCTGCTAACTTCAAAGCTTTAGCCCGCCAGCATTGCCTTTCTTGGGCGACGCAATAATTCACCAACCCGGTCTATCAGCCTCTCAAAAACCCAAATCAGGCCTTGATCACCAAGATCAGTAATCTTCATCAAGGACTCAGGTTTTTCATTGAGGACTATCTCACGAAAGCCACTGTAGTCTTCCCCCCGCGGAAGTGTCTGTGCCTCCCATCTCGAATGGAATCCCGGTGGAGATTCAAAGGTCAAACCGTCTGTTCTAGATTCAATGCCGCTAATCTTACATGTCTAGAAAGAAAGCGACTGCTCCGAGCCTTTCTACGGTACCAGCTCAATTCTTTGATGGACAGAAATGTCCAACAACTCTGCAAAGAGTCATTGCATCGACACAGCGGTCAAAAATTTCAACCATGGGACCTACAGGCAATATTGTGTGTTGACGAATATCTCAAAACACTAGACGCGGCTATGTTTGCCCAGTACAGCAATTCCGGGCTACCAGAAATTGTTCTTAGTAAAGGTTCTACATCCTCTCACCTTCCCGGCCTACTTTATCCACATAGCCTATGCGTTGACCCTGAGGCATATGCCCACGACATGGGCTGCGGACATTATATTGCATCATGGTTTACTTATGGTGGACTCGATCTCGTCACAATCCTTCTTCGATCTACTGAACCCGGACAAACTGGAAGGGACCGCCTCAAGGAGTGGTTTGAAAATTTCCATCAAATATATGACTCCAGACGGGAGAGGTCACACTATCTCATAGAAGGTTATCATTCGATTGGTAGAGTACTGGAGGGTTCTGAAAGTGGCCCAGGCATGTACCGGACTTTTCACTCGCGTATTATTCCGAATTATATGACGCTCACTAGAACGTCCATACAAAGGGCATGGGTATTTCTTGATGACGCCAGATTTTACCCCCCGCCCTCGTCTGACGCAAGCCCACATTTCCTGACTGAGGATGAGGCTCTGGAAGAGCGCTATCAGACTATGAAGAAGGATGAGGATTACTGGGACCTTCCATGGCGGGCCAGAGCTCGGCATCGATCACAGAAGTGGCACAACGAAATGTCTCCTGAAAAGACCAAGGTTCAAGACTACCAAGACTCAGAGCCTGAGAAAGTGAGCCAAATTTCCCTGCCTGAAATAGTAGATGGAAGTTATTCAGATAATCTACGTGCGTTCTGGCAATGAGATAGGAATTCAGCCTATGGACTGATGAATATTAAGTGTGGAGGATGATCAGCATGGGTTTTATACCCGGTACGTAGTACTCTCTTGGTACTTGAGGACGATCTCGGAAAAATTGATATTACTCTCCCGTCTGAATGGCGGCAATACACCGCCACTTAGAGTAGTAACGCACCGATTCTCAATCATTTCTCGATATTGCATATCGATTACGTCTTACCTAAGTCCAGGCTTTCCATGTATATAAAAAATTGAGGAAGGCACAAGTATTGATGAAGATAACCGGATGCCTGCTTCACGTCTCCACGCTATCGGGAACTTGTTTTGATAGGTAGACCAACGTGGCTGCAGCCGGTTGACATCGGCGCGTTCCTGATCTTGCATACTTTGGCTGCAGTCCGTTTAGAGGGAGGTTGGATAGCTAGCTCCAGGACTCGCTAGTAATTCAATATTTCAAGCATCTCCAGAGACATACGCGATACATGTCACCACCATGATCAAACTTTGCTGTACATGTAATCATAAGGCTCCGTCGAAGTGAAACTACGAGTGGGAACATGAGCGCGACGAAGCCGGGTGGGGCCGTATTAGTACACGAGGATACGAAAATTCAGCGATTGGCTCCCATTGAGGCGCGCCTGTGTTTGAGTACGAACCTACGGTTCTGGCTTGCTGCTTAAATATTGCGACTCGTCTACCATAATGAGCAACATTACCGAAACTACTTTGACTGCAATTTCTTTTCACATTCTTTACTGTGTCGATTTGTTTCCGTAACTTCAATTCCAAAAAAGTCTCCATTTGTGTCGAAACATTTCCACCATCTATCAAAGACCTCCTTGGCCCCCAACCTCAAGGTCCAGCCAGAATGGGTCTCGTTCATTTCGAAGATGGGAAAGTCCTCTTCTACCCGTACACGCCTTCAAAAGCTGCAGGTGTCATTTTCTTGTTTCTTTTTGCAGGTATCACAGTCTTTCATGTTTGGTTGATCCGTAGATATAAGACAAAATACTTCATACCGATGGTACTCGGAGGAATATGTAAGTGTTGGAACATTTGCCTTCTTTTTCTTACTACTCCTTTCAATTTTGTAGCATCTTCTAGACTTCTCAGGAACCTAACACCACATGAATTCAATAGGTGACACATTTGGACACTTGGGACGCGCCTGGGCAGGCTCAGCGCCTTTATCCCCTAAGCCATTCATGTTGCAGCTCATGCTCATTCTCGTTGCGCCTGTCTTCATCTCCGCAACCATATACGTCAATCTCGGAAGACTAAAAGAGGCCTTGCTAGGCCATCAAAGGCGGAAGTGCAGCCCTACCAGTATCTTCATTCTCACGGATATCATCGCCTTCTGCACACAAATCGGCGGTTCACTTGTGCAAGTTATTGCAAACCCAAAGATCATGGAAATTGGAGGCCATGTTGTCTTGGGCGGTCTACTTTTCCAACTCTTCGTTATGGTCGTCTACTTTGCTCTCGTCATGCGATTTCAGCGGGCTACGCAGAGGGAAACGATTTATTTACAGCATTGGAGACGTTATGTTTGGACCCTGATCATCTCGGTAGTTGCTGTCTGGGTGCGAAATCTGGTGAGGGCAACGGAATTCGCTGAGGGTTGGTACGGGTTCGTCAATCAGCACGAAGCCATGATGTACATTTTTGACTCGTTCTTGATGTTCTCTGTCATGGTGGCCTTCGCTGTCTTTCATCCCGGTAAACTCAACGATACAGTAGGATTGGGGAAGAACACGCAACGTATCAACTCGGAGCAGGTGGTGATGGGTCCTTTCGGGAACATAGTCTAGCTGTAAAACATGGATGATGTATCCGCACAGATAAAACTCAAGTGATAGATAGCATGCGGCTGGAACAATGTCTTATGCCGGTGAGCACAACGGCCTCGGGCAACGAACCCGACTTGTCCATGAAGGGCTGACCATCTTCAAGACTAGGAAGAGTGCCAGCATCGCTGGCGGTTCAGCTGCTGCAACAGTCGTGGCTCGTACGATACCAGAGCCATTGTTACACTTCAGCCAGCCCAAACTCTCCAGTTGTAGGACTGATCGACCATATCTCGGTAGTCAGAAGCTGCAAGCGGATATTGTTTCATATCTAAGGTTACCACCGTTACGGCCCGCGTGAAAGTCGGGGCCGGGGCTGTTGCGAGAAATGCCAGAGCCGAGTCTAGGCCGCTCACCTGACTGCATGCGGCTACTCAGCTGGATTTCAGCCGACCGTTCTTTCGCATCTTGACTTCCAAGGTCATTTACGTTCACGAGCAGAGCGGTGAGTTGTATCGCGATACTTCTTCAGCCGCAAACGCAAACAGCTCCTTCATTATCGGCGCGAGCTTTTTCGGTCTCGTCCGCACAAATTCTTTAGTCTCATGAAGTCTAAGAACCAATCTTCTTCTCCACAAGCTGTTACCACAACTTATCGTGCTCCAGTTCCATCCGTTCGCTATCGCTAATATATTTATCAAGCCACTAGTGCTCATAAATCAAGTACTCGATTCGTGTAGTCAGCCTATCCGGCTTCTTAGAGTCTTCGTCAAGCTTGAATATTTATGTAAAGTCGTATAATACAAACCGGCAATTCACCGTATATTAGCCACTTACTTACCTGGGTGCCTCCTTGGTCAGATACAACCTCAGGTACCTGTTGAGCTGTTTCGGCTTGTGAAGCGCGAGAGAGAAACAGACCGCCAAATTCTGGCCTTCTCCAGTTCGCACGATCATCGACTTGTCAGAATCAACGGTCACTATCCCGTGATAGATGGCAAAACCACAAAGTACTACCGCTACCCGATCCGTACATTCGACTTTACTGAGCTTGATGGCAAGGAAAAGTGGACGGCGTATCAATTCACAAGGAACGTCTACCCTGTTTGGGTACCGACGCACTTCAAGAGGATTTGCTCAATCATCGACCAGATGCTGTCCAAATTTGGATTTCGATGTCCCAGAGCTTCCGGAAACTGGCCTTTCCCAAGAATTTGGCAATTATCACCTTTCGCAGTCAGATGTTGACTCCATCCCAGCCTCTGCCGAAGAGAATCACCAGTCTGGTACTCCAAACGAACGCCAGACTACCTCAGATACTTCAGTGACAGGCTTAGCACCGGCAAAGAAGGCGAAGAGGTCTCAAGGAGGGAGGCACTAGGAATGCCTAGACATACGTGTACATTAGTAATGAACCGCGAACTACACGAGATGCCAGCCAAGAGTAGTTGAGGTTGGAGAGCAATGTGGGAGATTGGGAGACAGCTGGTCTGAGTTTTGCGCTGGCGAAGTCGGGCGCTACGGATCAAGGTCCGGAGCGCGTCCGCTGTTGGCCAAACCCCGCTATCCGGGCATATACTGGAGGATGTGGCCTAACGCTAAAGGAAGTATTCGTGAAACTATGATTGTGCCGTTCGATCCGAAAGCTCGTGTTGGGTGTTAGTTGTTGGTTTCGACTTGAATCGAGCTTCCCTTTTCGTCGCTTATGCCAGGGTGTAGGAATGTGGCCGAAGCTTGTATTGACTGTTAGTCGATAAAAGGCCCCTGGTCACTCGTGGTCAGTCACCTTCTGATTTGTCTCGACAATCCAGTCCCAACACAAATCCTATGTAGCCGGGCGAATTTGAGGAGACCAGTTCTGACCGGTGCTCTATTTTGGGCTCTAGCGTCCTGCATCTGTGATAGAACCAACATCATGGCATTTCTCTCAGCTTCGCTCTGAAATGTCAACAATGACAGCAAAGACCTGAACTGTGTCTCGTTTCCTGAGTATCTGGAACATAAAAAGGAGACCGTTTCTCTCAGAGGAAAGCAAAGGAAAGAGGACCTCTCATCGGAAAAAGCTCAAACACATTCACCTCACCAAGTCTCCACCAGAATGATCATTGGGTTGTTCATCGCCATGCTTATAAATCCATTCAGACCTTGTGAAGGCTCGCCAACCTTCCAAGAGCAATATTACAAAAGTGCCTTCAAGCCAAGATTCGTCGATGCCTGGCACGGTCCCCAGATTGTAGCGCCTGATACCCCCTACGTCGCAGCAGTCAGCAAAAACAGCCTGTATTTTATTGATACCCGTTTCGATTCTGATACTGCGAAGCATATCAAAGAACAAATCGAGTGGGCTACAGTTCCAGGTGGTGCTAACCACGTCATCAACATTGATGAGCTTTCTGCCACGGCAGAGGTCAAAGACACTGCCACAGGCGAGACGCTGTTCGTCTTCGACCCCCCTTACGCCCGAGTGCTATTCGCGAAGGGTATCAACAGACGCAACCCGGCACTCAGGCTGCCTGAACATGAGCCAGCCGGCGAATGGTTGGTGACCTACGACCACAACAGCTTGACGGCGAGAGACTCATGCTACGACTACGGCTGCAGTAACAATCAGGACTGCAAACGTCAGACGAACAATAATTGCGATGTCTGCCATAACTACAGAGTTGACAACGAGTGTGACAAGGCGCTAACCAACGCCATCGGCGTGTGCCGGCCGCTCTGTAGCAAGAAGACGGACGTGCCAAAGGAAGAGGGAGAGGATGACATCACTTACTACAAACGCATGGACGACTTGCACTGGAAGTAACAACCTGCAACGGGAGAGGCATGAGGCGCTAATTTTCAACATGCTTGCTGAAGGTTTGAAGGAGACGATAAGGGATGAGGAGTGAGAGGGCGGCGAGGAAGGTATGAAGGGAGAAGAGAAATCAAGCGGGATATTCAATCAAGTCGCCATCACGGCGTGGATGCATAATCTAGGATGAGATCGTCCGTTTCGCACGCATTTCGGCCTTCCGAGCTAGATGACATATAATCTTCCTTAGCTATTACTGATTATCCATGAAACTATATTTGCATCGACCATGTGGGATGGCAAAGAACCCTGCCGATACTCGAGGCTCTACCAGAATCTAGGACGACGGTAAATTATTCGGTTAAGTTCTGGCCTCAGTAACCCGCGGTAACTCGATGTTCTGTATATTCTATTAGGAGAAGATACAATAGCCCAAAGAGTAACCACTGTTAGTAACTGTTACAATCATAGGGAGCTCTAGTCCACTACACTATCTTACTTAATTGTTAGCCTATGCAAGCTAGATACGTCTATTATAGCGGTCTCCCTAGATATGGGACGATCGATTACGGTTTACGGGGACAATTAATATTTTTCGATGTTTTAGACGAGTCCGGAAACCAGCCGCAAAGTTCAGAGTGGTTATGCTCGGGGAAGATGAGGCAGATTGACGGGGACTGTGTTATACTTATTGTGGATAGAGAATATTAAGTTTTGTAGCCACTACCGAGTAGACGCTCTACCTCGACTAAGAGACTCCACTTAAGACCGGCATAGGAAATTCGAATAATATAATATATATAATATGTTATATATATCTAGCTAATTCCCCAAGACATCACTATCGAACAATCAGGAAAGCAGGTCCATGAGAATTATCACGTCCAATGCAGAGGGCTTGGAGATTTTGGGACGGAGAATCTCAACGGGCGACTCGGTCTGGTTTCAAGAGGCACTGGCCCTCTCGTGCGTATGTCGTTGACCCATCAGCTCAACCGCGATAGTCATATCACAGGAATCGAAGTCAGCAATTTTGCGCTGCTTGACCAAGTCTAGGAGAGTCATGGTTAAGTCAAAGTATAGAAAAATTTGAATATAATGAGCTCACGGACACCTACTTTGCATATATTTGACGCATCACTTGGAATAGCCCAAGAAACGGCCAATCTGGAACAGGGATCGCAATCATCGCCCCACGCTGGGTCGCTGACTCCTAGCATGATATGTAATAGGGAGATCGGCGCAGAATATAGGGAAAGGTCATTTATTAAAAGTGAGAAATGAGTACGAAGTTCGCCCCGAGATAGGAGGCGTGAGGGAGTAAAGACCTTGTTAATTACGGAACCAAGGTTACGTGGCTTGCGGTAAGGCCCCGGCTAGCTGAAGCCATCATGATATTTTAGAAAGTACAGAATTATGTGTGTTCACTTTATTCATTGTTGTTTCGGTGCTTCATCCTACATAAACTTTGGTTCAGTAACATATGACTCCGCATATATGACCAAAGAAAACCCAAACCCTGCATCCATTGATACGCAGCCGTGTACAAAGGGGGCTCGTGGAAGCTCATCAGAATCTTTATTGCATCCAGAAAGCCATCACGCCTTCTCCCTCAACTTAAACATCAGCGGCGTATCCATATTCACCTGACTCTCCGTAGCAAACCATGTGCACGGCGGCCGCGTCACGCCCGCCGGGTATCCGATATCATACCGCAACAGCAGCTCCGCCAAAAAGATCTTCAGCTCGTTGGCAACCAGGAACCTACCGGGACAGGACCACTGCCCGTGCCCGAACGATGGAAATTCGTTGCGCGTTGACGTGAACTGCCACTGGTTCTCCTGGCCTGGCTCCTGCCTCTTGCGCGCGAAGCGGAAGCCGTCAAAGACATCCGGGTCCGCGAATTGCGAGGCGTCGCGAAGCCCCTCGAGCGAGACGGCGAGGAGCGAGCCCTTGGGTAGGCGGGTGCCGTCCGAGAGAATGGTTGTTTGTTTGACGTAGCGGTTCATCGCGGCTACGTGGGATCATGTGTCAGTTAATCGAGTGTTTTGTCTGGCGAATCTATCGAGCTGCTTTTTGGGGGAGTTCATACTCAGCTGAACAGGGTTCATGCGTTGCGTCTCCTTCAAGAAACTATCCATCAGCCTCATCTTATACAACGTCGTCTTCTTCCAGCCCCCATCCTCGGCGAGGACCTTGTCAATCTCCTCCCTCATCGGACCGATACACTCAGGGTGAGCCGCCAGGTCATACAGAACATTACACAGCAAATCGACCGTTGTATGCGTGGACGCAAACGCAAGCGAGATCATGGCGCTCACAGCATCAAAGTCCTCCTCCTTGCCGCGCTTAGACGAGTTCTTGTAGTACCACTCCAGCGCGTCATTGAACTTGACATCAGCACCGGCATCGCGCAGCCGCCGCCGCTCCTCGATCTCGGGGACGATGAGCGTCCTGGCGACCTCGCCGTACTTTTTGAGGGCGATGATCTGGGGCAGGAAGCGGTAGAGAACGGGTCGGAGGAATTTGGGCGTGGAGAGTAGCCCGCCGATGGCGCCGAAGATGCCTTGCGGGTATTGCGTGCAGATGTAGAGCCACTCCTTGTTTTTTGTGAATCTCTTGCCCAGGAAGACGAGAGTTGAGAGGCGCACGCCCATTTCTGCGGCGTCTTTGCCAAAGGTGTATGAGGTCCATTCTGATGATGGGGTTAGCCACAGCCAAGGAATAGCGGGACACGAATCGAGCTTACCGGTTGTCTGTGGGAAAAACTCGCTGAGGATTTCGCGTGCTTCTTCTGCTAAAAGGGGTGTGGCCTCGCCTAAGATTTGGATAAAGTGCAACAAATTAATGACTAGTACGAAAGGAAAGATGGCATCATCATGGAGGAGACTCACTAAGATATTGTGTCATGTTAATTCTCAGAGATTCCTGGAAGATACGGTCCTCATTGATCTTGTGCGCCCAGTCTAGGCCTGGGTATTGCCCAAATAGCCTCTACGTTCATTGGTTAGATCCCGAAAAAACATTATATCTGCCATGCATGCGAATCCAAAGAGAATTAAAACAGCTTAAGAAACTTAAGACTTACTCTTTCGGCAGACTTTCCGAAGTCCAGGTTCGGGTGGTCCTTGATAAGAGGGACATATCTCGGGGGCAAGACGGTGATGGGCACGTAGCCAATGACCTGGAAAGGTCCATTGTACTACATGAGCGCGACGCTGTTAGCCATGAAATTCCCCTGTTAAGGACTTACGTGTGAACTGAACCATCTCTCACCTTCTGAAGACCCTCTTTGATGAGATTCTTACAGTCCGTCACGAAACGATATTGTGCCTTGATATTGAGAATGTCCCACTTTGGACCCCCGACATAGGGAATACCTCGGAACGGCTGAGTGCTGTAGTTGAAGTAGAAGAAGACAACCAGAGACAATACAGCGACGGTAACGGTCACGTAATTGTTGCCGCGGGCTTGCGCAAGCAGGTCTAATGCGATCTCCATCATGGGCAATCGGACTTCGGTACAACGTGATTCGAGAGTAAAACACCTTTCTGGCCTGCATTACGTCTATCCGTCCAAAAGGCTAACAGAGCCCGCTTAAAAGCTTACAACAAGAAAATGAAACTCGAGACATTGTTTCCGATGTCTTGGCGTCTTGATGGATTAGGCCGAGTTACAAATCGAACCAAAGCAGCCGATGTCACATTGTGGTCAGCATGTGTCGGGTCTTTTATCATTGGCTTTGGATACGACATGCATGTACGCTCGCCAGATAGGTACATGCGAGATTTGATACCGGTAAGACGCACATCACATGAGTTTAGCCGTCGGCGTCGGATGAATTGTACAAATGCAGTGTCTCACCTTTGAAATACCCCAAAAGGGGACGGGAATCTGATGACATGATTGGAAGGATCATGCACGCCGCGGGAGTGGCGCCGGTGCCGTACCTTGTTCGAAAGAAGGGTTCAAAAGGGGAACAGTCCGTATAAAAACCCGAGACCAATGTTCAAGGGGCGGCAACAAGCCGGCCAGTGCCGTTTCTGCCGTTGGTGTGCTTATGCTTACAGCCTCCGTAATTGTGATCCCTTATCGACGGTAGACAATGATCCTTTCCAAGACATGGGCGAGCCTTTTCGCGCCACTTCAACACACGCCGACAGGCCAAATTCAACTTGTGTTGGGGGTGCTGGTATTTCTGGTGGGTGGATGAGTACCAAAGTTCTTTTGTCTTATCGGTGGTGTGGCACAATTGCATCTATGGTGGTGTGGCCTTGCTGACACCCTCGCTCACGTAGATCGTCATACACCGGGTTGTTGTGACCATCTACCGGCTATGGTTCCATCCTCTTTCCAGATATCCAGGCCCCAAGTGGTGGGGAGCGTCGGATCTCTTCTGGCTGTGGCGGACCAACGTCAGGGGCACCTACACTCGTGAGGCTCCGGGTCTTCAACGGAAGTTCGGCAACATTGTGCGCCTCGGGCCGGACCGCCTGATGGTGGACGGCAGCATCGCCTGGACGCAGGTCTTCTCACTCAACGCCACGGTACACGGCATGGATGAGTTCGCCAAAGTGCCGAACCAGCTGTTTCCAGGCGACTACAAGACAATTGTTGCCGCGCCGCGGGACGAGCATCGCCGTATGCGACGCCAGCTGAACCACGCTTTCAGTGACGCTGCGCTCAAGGAGCAGGAGGGCATCATCGGTCGTTACGTCGAGAAGCTAGTCGATCACCTAGAGCGAGCGTCGGGTGCCGTGGACATTGTGACCTGGCTCAACTACACCACGTTTGATGTCATTGGAGATCTGACCTTCGCCGAGTCATTCCACAACCTCGATGACAGCAGCTTTCACCCGTATGTTTCGGGCTTCTTCAGGGCCATCCGTGGCTTTGCGTATAGCCGAATGATCCTGGCGAAGCCGCACCTCACACCGTTCTTCCTGATATTTGTGGGCTGGCGTGAGATCTGGACCGCCATCTCGACCATGATGGAGAACATGAAGCTGGGCGACTCGAAGGTGAAAGCGCGAATGGCTATGGGCGCCGAGCCCAAAGACGGCCGGCGCGATTTCATGACGTACATGATGCGGGAGACGCGCGATGGAAAGCCGGGCTTCTCGGAGCAGGAAATCATGATGAACAGTGGGTTGCTGATCGGTGCCGGCAGCGAGACGACAGCGTCGGCTGTGAGCGGCTTTTTCTTCTTTGCCGGCATGTCACCAGCGGCACTGGAACCGTTGATCGAAGAGATTCGGTCTGCGTACAAGTCCGAATCGGACATCAACCTAGTCAACACGCAGCATCTACCATACCTAAGGGCAAGTATAGATGAGACACTGCGTTGTTTCCCCACTGTCGTCGAGACGCCACCTCGTCAGTCTCCTGGAGCCATGTTTGAAGACAAATGGGTCCCTCGCGGTGTGAGTTCCTCCTAATCGCTTTATACCATTGCCTCTGCACCAACCATGAGACTGACATGAATCATCGCTAGACGCTCCTCCACGTGAACCAAGTGGCGACCATGCGAAACAAGGGTAACTTCATTGATGCAGAGAGCTGGTGTCCGCAGCGCTGGCTCCCCAAGGCGCATCCTCTGTACGATCCGAGGTTTGAATACGACAACAAGGCTGCTTTCAAGCCCTTTAGTTACGGGCCTCGAGACTGCGCCGGCAAGAACCTGGCGTACTCAGAGATGCGGCTGATGATCTGCAGAATCCTATACCGGTTGGACTTTGAGTTGGTCGAGGGCCAGAAGCAATGGTACACCGATAAGCACGTATGGAGCGTTTGGGAGAAACAGCCTCTAAACTTGAGATTCCGGCCTAGATTACAACACTGAGAGTGTTGAAGGAGCACTTGGCGACTGACTAGAAGATGGATCAAGAAAAGAGGCGTATATATCTACCGAGATCTAAATTTAGATAGGACAGAGCAATTACTCTGCTCAGTCATGTAGCTGACTGGGAAGTGCTGTGTAATGTACACTCGCTCATGGCATTTCTTGCTGGAGCTGGAGACGGCCTATCTAATGACTTTGACAAAAGTCAGGCACACGGGTTTCCGAGACATAGACGTATCCAATCTAAGGTGAATAAGTCCCAAAGGCACCTGACGGCAGCTGCAGCCGTTCCTCAACCTCAGCGTTCTATGGTGTCCTGTTCCCATTGCAAGCGACCCAAAAGTCTCAAAAGCCTGTCAATGATACGCTGAAGGCCTCCCCCATCGTTGATGAAGGACTGGTCGCTGTCGCTGAGAGCCTGGGTAGATTGGAAGTCCTGGAGCAGACTGTGGTGGGTCACTAGACTCTTGTAAATAATTTGAGAGGCGAGAATATTTGCCTCATCGTCCTGTAGAAGAAAGCCTCCGAGGGTCATCTGCGTCCGGGTACAGGTGACAGTAGTAGCGGGTAGCTTGAGTGAAAACAGATGGGCGCTGCCGAGGCCTGCCGTGCCGTTCGTCAGTTTGCTATACAGGCCGAGGCCGAGGATTTGGGGCGACGGAGACAAGAGTATAGATAGATCATAATAGCAACGCCGAGACTATAGATGTTGAACTTACGATCCGGCGATGTCTGTGAGAAGTAGTCGATGTCTGTGTAGGCGTATGTAGTGGCCTCGAAGAGAGATAGGAGCTTCTCGGAGGCTGTAGTCAAGGCACAGGTGACGTTGGCATTGTTGGTATTGTCATTGTTGCAATGGCGACAGCGTGTGGCCTGGCGCCATTGTTCGACAACGGAGTGATGAAGCTGCATGACGGCGTCGAACGAGACGATACCCTCCTTTGGAATTTTCTTGAGCAGTCTGGATGCTTTTCGGGCACAACTACACTTGGACGTCGACGCTGATGCCGACGCAGAGGGGATTGCTTGTGCTTGGTTTTGTTCGTACTCATGCCAGTCGCTAGACTCGTACGACGATGATATTGACGCGTGAGATTGCGGCCCAGGGGACCCCTGATGGTTTGGAGCAATAAGTCAGCAAGAAAGTCTGTAAAACCTCTCCCAGATAAAAGATGATAGATTGGTGCTTTGGTCACCTCGGAACTGTAGTCGAAGATGCTGCTGTGTGCCATCGGGACGGTATGTCATATGACCATGAGGGAGTCGAATTGAGTAACACTCATAGAAGAGGAAGACGAATGGAAGACGGTGACTCGGCCAATTGGCATACCCAAAGAACCGGTAGGTAATATCAAGAAAACACCCAGATAAATGCTTGCGAAGTGGCCAAGTTCGGACAGAGGGTGTTATCAAGTGAGCGTATCGAGAACGTACATGGCAGCGTAGCCTCGATGGAACCATTGTGATTCAGACCTTCCATCACAAAGGTGACAAAAGTCTCCAAAGGACCCCATCCTGGCAAGCACGCAAGAGAACGGATAAGGTAGGCGCAACCAGGGTGGCCTCGGGATGGATGCAGGCAACAGCCCGCCGTTGAGCTAAGGTAGCGCACCGTTCCTCCCTCAGGCTAAGTGGGTCTCTGATTGGCCGCTCCGCGAATGGACTTCCACTACCGGCCACACTCATCACTACCTACCTACCTTACTCCGCACCATTGCGCGGTACAGCGGTACCTAGCCAGCGGCACACCTTACCTAAGCACGTGCCTAGGTACCGCATTAACCCCACTTGCTTCCCGTCCCCGGGGGGTTTCCTGGGGTACGTACAGAAAGGTACCTCCACCAGCCCTTACGGCCATGAATGAAGATGCAAGCACGTGGTAAGGTAGGTATCTACAACAAAGTGCCTACCTGCTTTGGAGTCCCCGACGGCATCCAGACCCAAGAGGGTAAACGAGAGGCTTGTCCTTCCTGCTTTTCACCGCGGTGACGGAGTTTGGACATTGACCTTTCCATCCAACGTGCACCTCCTGATGCGTGTGACATAGGATGAGTGCCTACCGGTATTGGTATATGGTGGCAACGAGATCCTCATGTATGGTTGGAAGGTATTGACCCGAGCCCACTTTGCTGTGCCTTCCTCTCCTCCACCCCGTCCTTTACTCCAAAATAATGCCACTTTTGGTAAGATAGAACCTTATTGAAACCTTCCTACAGTGGACCATAAATCAGGGGAGGTACGGATCGAGAAGGGGCACGAAAGAAAAACACAGAAGCAAAGAAAAAAGATTATACGTATGATATCAAGTACTTAAGCCCCCCGACGGAGCAATCCGCCGGGGCCGTACCGTGTATTACGTATTAGGGAAAACTAGGTATATTACGCTCTATACCTAACTACTAATCAAAACTCCCGACCTTCCCCCGCCCGTCTAGAGGGCGAGCTACACCTACTCTAATGCATATAAGACCTCTTAATACTAGCCTACGTAAACGGCTAGATCCTATATTATATACTCTTTTTTATTAAGGGTTAGGGGGCCCCTTATATATTCCCTTATATCTATAATATAGCTTATATTAGAGGGATTTTTAATTTTATAAAATATAATTTCTAAGCTAATATTAATATATTAAATTTTAATATCTATATTAGCCCGGCTATTTACGGCGTTTATATTATTACTTAGCTAAATTCCGTACTATTAAAAAGTACTTTACTAATCCTTAGGTATATTTATATTAGTTACGATAGTTATAGTATCGAGCTAGCTAAAGAGGGTACTTAGCTTAAGAGGGGTAAACTTATTAATAAGTATCTTTAGAGAGTTCTAACTTATTAATTACTAACTATATACTAAAAAAGTAGTAGTTTATATATTAATAAGTTTATTTAATAGATTTATTTAGTAGATTTATTTAGTTTAAATAGAGAGTAATTTTAAATAATATTAGAAATAATAAGGATAAAAAGAATTTTTATAAGCTATAATATAGTAAAGTAGTAAATATTAGCCTATTTAGCCCTTTTTTTTAAAAACTTCTACGTTATTATTAAAGTTTAGAACCTCTGTAATTAAGGGCTACCTCTAATTATTACAGCCGATTATTATAGCTAACTATTATAGCTAACTTTTATTATTAACCTTTTTAGTTAGCACTACTACGTAATAAAAAGGGTAGCTTACTTATTTCGAATTATATAGCGGTTTTCGTATTAAAATTATTATATTATATTAAGCGCGTACTTAGGGTATATTATACGTATTATATAATTAAAAAGTGTATTATATTATATAATTTCCTTTAAAAGCGTGATCCCATTAAGGTCGATCTTTTGTGCCTATAAAGCCGGAAAAAAAACCACTATATCAAGTACTTGAGAACCTGTCTAAGGTAAGGTGTGCAGGATATCAGCTAGAATGGCGTCCGATTAAGATGCTGGGATTGGGCAATGGGCAATGATAGCAAGCCCCGTCCCAAATTAGTCGTTGACTATACTGGCACTCTTTATTTGATAGCTTGACGATTGCCATTGACGGCTTACAGATGGCGGAGGAATGGGTACAACCCCAAATTCACAAAAGTCTCAAACGAGTCTCGAATGACTTAGGTAAGGGTGGGACAATTATTCCCGACTGGGGGGGTGTGAAGTGTGATAAAGTATGGTATTTCCGAATGATCCAATAACAAGAATGCGTTTGCGCCGCACCCTCATCACTCGACTGCAGGGCACGCTGTACCACCCATTTGAGAGCCGGCGTAATTTTGCACCGCTCTGGTCCACATTACAAATCTGGGCAAGTCGGCAAGCAAACAATCCGATTCACTCTTCACCCTATCGCGAGGTACGTACCGTTTGGGATATTCAGCAATTTCACCATGGCCAGATGGTGCAAGTCACGGGCACGTCGAAGTGTCTTTTTTTTCTCCTTCAAAAAACCAAGAAAATCACCTCTCATCTCCCTTTCTAGTGGTTTCGTATTCAAAAAGCATCCGTTGCACAAATCATTCGATGCTCTGCGAGGAGGCGAAGCAGACAATACTGCAGCTATCTCTGTTAGTCGCCCTTGAATAAAAAGCCATCATTACCACCATCACAGCAGACAAGATAACACCAATTGCCGGAGGAACAGCAACAAAACACCGTCACAATGGCCACCGCGACTCCAGAGGACCAGCCACGCTCACAACCTAGCGTCGAGCTGACGCGCTCTTACGAGAACAAGACCGAAGCAACCCTCGGCCACAGTCACGATGCAGCCCCTGGGCCCACAGCACCAGTCGATAGCGAGAAAGGAACTGGAAGCGCCGACGGCGATGACGACAAAGCAGAAGAGGGCGACTACGCCACCGGCTTGAAGCTTTTCATTCTGATGACTTCCCTCTTGCTATGCCAATTCCTTGTCGCCTTAGACATGGTGAGTCTTCTGCTTGCTTCACCCCCCCCCCCTCCTTCCATTGCTCTCTTATGTCACCTTTGCAACTATCTTACCTTACTAACACCGTATGCCAACAGAGTATAATCGCCACTGCCATTCCCAAAATCACTCGCGAATTCCAAAGTCTTGATCAGGTCGGATGGTATGGCTCCGGTTTCCTCCTTACACTCGCCGGCTTCGTTTCTCTCTGGGGCAAGGCCTTCAAGCATGCCAGCATCAAATGGGTCTTCTTGTCCGCCGTGGTCGTCTTTGAGCTTGGGAGCTTGATCTGTGGTGAGTGGACTAGCATACCAAATTTCCAATGGTCGGTTCCTTGTTCAGTGGCTGATTTGGCCTTTATATTACAGGTGTGGCTCAGAATAGCACTACCCTCATCGTCGGTCGCGCCATCCAAGGCTTTGGAGGTGCTGGCATGACCAGCGGAGTCTACCTCATTGTCTCCGTCTCTGTCGTCCAGAAGCTTGTCCCTGCCTTTTTGGGCCTTCTTAGCGGTATCTTCAGTGTTGCTAGTGTCGTCGGCCCCCTTCTTGGTGGTGCATTCACGGACCGTCTTACTTGGCGTTGGTGGTGAGTGTCTTCAGCATTACAGCTCCATATTACCGTGAAGTTACGGCGCACCGGGACTGACCTGACGTTTCCTCAGCTTTTACATCAACCTCATCGTCGGCGCGCCCTCTATTCTCTTCCTGGCTTTCTTCTACAAGCCACCTGCTCACCACAAAATCGAGCCCATTGGCTGGAAGGACTTCATCTATACTTTAGACCTGCCGGGCGTCGCTGTCGTTCTCGGCGGGCTGACGTGCTTCATCCTCGCCATTGAATACGGTGGTGTCACCAAGGCCTGGAACTCGGGTACCGTTATCGGTCTGCTGGTCGCCTTCGGTGTCCTCGTCATAGTCTTCATTGTTCTCGAATGGTACCAGGGTGACCGTGCCCTGCTTGTTGGCCGTCTCATGAAGCGGAGGACTATCGCGGCCTGCGCGGTCTTCGTTTCCATGTAAGGCTCCTCTCTCTCGGGTAGAATTTGGTTAACCTATTCTCAGGATCAACTTCTCCTTCTTCCCCTTGGCCTACAATCTTCCAATCTACTTCCAGGCCGTCAACGGAGTCTCCCCCTTGCAGAGTGGTATCCGATTACTGCCAACTATTCTTCCGATGAGTAAGTTCAAGTGATCACCATCGTTGATGACAAGAAGCTGACCGCATCGTCTTTAACAGCGCTGTTCAGTCTCTTCTCCGCCCCAGGTATTGTGCTAGTCGGATGGTACCAGCCGTGGCTAATGACCGGCGCATCGCTCGCCGCCATTGGAGCCGGCCTCATTTACATGCTAGACATCGACTCCACCAGCGCGCAATGGATCGGCTTCCAGTTCGTGGCCGGCGTCGGTACGGGTCTGGCAATGCAGCCGCCCGTCATCATCGCCAACGCCATCACCCCGAAGCAAGACAACAGCATGGCCATGTCGGACGTGCTCTTCTTCCAGTTCATCGGAGGCACATTTGGCATCGGCATGGCGCAAGCCATCTTCAACAACGGCCTCATCAGCAGCTTGCCCGAGCTGGCACCGATGGTTTCTCCGGCCGAGGTCCTCAGCATTGGCGCGTACGACTTGAAGAACGTCTTGTCGGGTGATGCACTGACTGGCGTGCTGAGGGCGTACATGCGCGGTCTGCACAATGCGTGGGCCATGAGCATCGCTGGCGCCGCCGTCGCCGTGTTCTTACCCCTGCTGGGAGCCTACATGAAGCTCCCCAAGACGCCCCCCAAGAGCTGGGATGAGAAGCCGACGACCGACAAGGCCGACGCGTGATCTTGATTTCTGATTTGGTGTCTGGACTTTCCAAGTCCAGAGAAGGGCCCCTGGCAGCAGAAATGCCCCCCTCAAGGACCAAGACTTACACACATGGGAAGCTAACAGCGGGAGACTGGGAATCTTTGTGTGAAGATATGATCTCCTTGAAGAACCTTTTTTCTTCGTGGTTCCGATAGAAATTTGAAGACAGAATTGGCGTGATGGATCGGAACAGGATTCAGGATTGCGGTGTAATGCATTCACTGTCATAGATCCCGTGCAAAAATAGACACATTTCTTGTACGCTGTACGCAACTCCGAATTTTTTTGGTTGACCTCTGCTGCAACTCAAGCTCAAGCATCCATATCGGCCTAGTGAATCTTGTGAAAAACGTACTGCTTGCCTACGTCGAATTTGAGTTGTGGTGGGCCTGAAGAAGTTATCCACACGATCGTCCGTCCGAACTACCCGTAAATGGACGCAAGGTCAAAGTTACCCGCCACACGTGGCTAGCGCATGGGTGGCTGGATTACGGGAGGCAAAGCTGTGATCGTAATCATTGATGATGGAACGGTGAAAGCTATAATCTGACAAAGCCTCACATAAGGCACTCGGGAGGTGGCAGATTCAGCCGTTAGTTTGCTCTGACATGTGAGAATGGTTCTGTCCAGCGAATGGAATCTAGCGAGGTCCCGTTAGTTGACGGCTTCTGTCGGTCCGTTCCGTTCCCGTGGCTGTAGGTACGTGCCTAGTATATCGGCGACAAAATTATCTTCCACTCAACTCACATGCTCGTCTGTATCACTATTACTACAATTATCATTATTACCATTTGATGATATCTCTTCTCGTCTTTAATTTCTTTATATTCCATGGGTAATATACCTTGAACAGCCTAGGTAAGGATTATGTAGAAAATGAAGGTAGCAAGAACGGTAAAGAATTCACTAGGGTAGGATTCAATTGAACGCATTGAGCATTGGCAGGCCTACTATTTTGTCACCGATGGCCGCCTACCTACTCGAGATAATGTCCCATACGAACCGCGATATTTCCAGATGTTTTAAACTCCTTCCAGAGTCGAATGTGCGACGCGACATTGTGCCTGTGTATTACTTTGGAACTTCCGTTTAGGTTTGGTCCATACCTACCACACCCGGTGCCGGGTGGAGACCGTCAGCGAACGGGTGGCCGCCGCCCGTAGTCATGCCGGGTTCCGACAAGGAAAGTACGAGCAGAAAGGGACCTTGCCTTAGCGCCCCCTAGCAGCCGTGAGGGGGCCCATATGATTTGGATAGACACGCCCCACCCCCCTCCCTTTCAGCCCTCCTCCGTATCTCTCATTCATCGACCATATTTTCTCGCATGGAAGCCAAGCAGGCAGAAACCCAGGATGGATGAGGTGCGGTTGCTTACGAACTAATTGCTCATTTGAGGATGATCTCTCTTGCAGACTGCAGCGACCAATTCCTTCGAACAAAAAGACCGAGAAACAAAATAACCGATTCGTCAGTTTTCCGCTCCATTCAGAACCACTTCACGACCCAAGATAATACCGCCACCGCCTCTCGCAGTATCAGCAGCCCAAAATGGTCCGCTTGCAATCGCAATGTAGCAGTCGAGACGATGAGAATCCTCTGTCTTCATGGCTACGGCACGTCCGGAGCCATCCTTCGATCGCAGCTCGACGCCTTCATCCACAGGGCCGACGCGAGCTACGAGTTTGTCTTCCTCGATGGCGAATACGAATGCCAAAGAGCCCACGGTCAGTCACTTCGTCTGTTCTACATGTGACCCTATGCAATGCTGATGTAATCTTAGGTATTGGCAAGTTCGCACAGCCTCCTTTTCGATGCTTCAATCAATCCTTTGGCCCCCATGCCATCCAGTCGTCCCTTGACCACCTCCAAGACTTCATTGACGACGAGGGTCCCTTTGATGGTCTCTTGGGCTTCAGTCAGGGCGGCTCCTTGGCCCTCGCCTACCTGATTCAGATGGCCGAAACCATGGCGGCCAACCCAGGAACCCCGCCCGCATTCTCCTTCGCAGTCTTCCTCTCTACCATCGTCGCCTTCTCTCCGGACCCGAATTTCTGCTCTCACCTCATCACTGGCCTAGCCCCTAGCGACCGCGAAAACGTCCTCGCAGGCTTTCCCCGCGGCGCCACCCACAATGACTACGCCGCTCTCACCGGGGCCCCTGAGCGCGCTATTTTCTTCAGCTCCCTCGGGAAGGTCCTAGAGACATCCATCGTCGGTGGCTTCATCGCACCGGACACGCCTCTTGGCCTCGAAGCGCTGCTACATTCCGAGTCGGTAGCCACGAACAATGACATTGACCATCTCCCGCGCATCATGCATCCCGTCATCGCCTCGCCGGCCTGCAGGGTCCCTGTACCAACCGTCCATGTCGTCGGCGCCCTTGATGACCCGCTACTGGTCAGCATGTCGAAGCTGATGGAGGGGCTCTGTGAGGCAACGCTGACGCGATCGCTGGTGCACGACGGTGGCCACGATGTGCCGAGGAAACCGAGAGATGTGCAGGCGTTATGGTCCGCCGTCGAGTGGGCTACACGAGAGGCGGCAAAACAGGTGTGGTAATCTGGGTAGTGACAACGGGAGTGCTGATGATTCTGGATTTCAGGTACGTCGGGCAGTTGATTTCGGGTGGTTTTACTCTTGTCAAGTTGTCCTTGTGGTGTGGGGCTGACGACATGGAACCCCGAAGACTCGACTAGCGAATTGATACTCCGATACTCGGTAGAAAATACCTCGATTTTCATTCGAGTGTTCAGTAAGACTAGATAGATGAAGATCCAACCATGAACAGAATTTTCTTCCATTTCTGATCTCTATTCTGACCCTGGCTTTCTCTTACACAATCTCTCAGCACCAAGATGGAAAAAACTGCCAGGACGACCCTGAGCACTGCTCGTTATTCGGACAACTGGTCTTCCAAGGGCGGGTGGTATCTCGTGTGCGCCTACTGCGCCTGGGAGACGATCGCTCTGACGCTGTCGACGCTCTACTCCTTCGCGCAGCCAGTCGTGCAGGAGACGTATGGCGTGGGTAACGTCCAGATCGTCACACTGGGCCAGTCCATGCAGATCATGGGAAATATGCTTGGTGTATCGCTGCTGAGCCCCCTCTCGTACGACTCGAAAAACAGGTCCCCTTGATCGAGTCTTCCACCTTGCTAACCTGACGGGACGGTAGGGATGTCTTTGGTCGCAAGACCGTTACGATATTCTCCATGCTGGCTTACTCCGTCCTCAACCTAGTCAGTACATACCCATACACGCCCGCTGTTGAACCGTGTCATAGACGGAGGGGGACCGTCCATATTCGGGACTAATCAGTAGAGTACAGGGAACAGCATACGCACCCAACCTACCCACCCTCATTCTCTTCATGTTCCTGAGCGGCGCCGCCTGGTCAACCTCCCTCTCTCTCGTCCCCGCCGTTTTCAGCGACCTGTACCTAGACAGAGACGACATTGGCCAGCCCATTGCACTCTTTGTCATTGGTGCCAGCGTCGGGCCCACCCTCGGCGGTGTCGTTGCCACGGCTCTCATGGACGCTGGGGCTGATCTCAAATGGTACTTTTTGATCACTGTCTTTGTTAGTGCCGCGTGCGCTATTCCCATGTCGTTTGTGCCCGAGTCTCTCAATGCGGCCCGGGCCGGTGATGGAAGCAAGGTCACCGGTCCGGTTCCGCAGACTAAGCTTGACGCCAGTCCAACCCCGCGCGGGAGGTGGTATTTCCTGACGAGGGTTTGGTACCTACTTGCCACAGAGCCCATCATCTGGATCACGGGTATCTACAACGGCCTTGCCAACGGTGTCTTTGTTCTAACTGTTGGGGGCTCCATCACGACCCTGACGGAGTTCAAGGGTCTTCCGTAAGCAACACCTCTCTACTTGGTTTCTTTCTTTTCTCCGCGTCATCTGCAGACTTGTCCAGCACACACTGAATGACTGACTCGCGGCAAAGTCTGATGGAAGCCGCCATCTCCATCATCTTCATGGCCATCGGCGTGGTACTCGTATGGTTCGTCATGCCTACACAGACCCGCCTCTACAGGGAAGACAAAAAACGACACCACGGCCGCGCCCTCCCGGAGTCAAGACTCCTGCTCGTCCATGACGTGATCTGGATGTTCCCTGCCGCCTTAGCCTGGTCCGCTTTTACAGGCGGCGCCGCGTGGGGTAAATGGCACCAGGCCGTGACGGGCGGCGTCGTTGCGTTTACAGACTCGTTTCTGTACCAGTGTCTCTTGATTTACATTCTGGGTAAGTTGCGAAGCATCACGTCCCACATGCCGTACTTTTTACGAGATGCCGAATGCTGATGCGAGGGTCTGGAACAGACTTGTACCCCGAAGAAGCCGCGTCCGCTACGGCGGCCTGGCTGATACCCTGTTTTCCTGTACAGGCTGCGGCTGTGCACTTTGGTGTCCCCATGTTCCAGAAGCTCGGCCCGGAGTGGGCTTTCGGTCTGCTGGCTGTCTTTACGGCTGGGTTTGTGGTACCTGGGTTTTACGCGATCAAGAGGTATGGACCGGCGATGCGGGGGAGGTCCCCTGCGACTAAGAAGGGCTTTCGGCTTTGAGTTCTTGGCTGATCCTCATGTCTTGTATTGAATATCACAACTTGCCGCCTGCCCGCGTCGAATAATGGCCAAGGTAGGCGACGGGTGAAGATGTTAATCACTGCATTGGAGTATTCGCGACGAGGTACTCACTTTGTGCTCTGGAGGTTTTGCTGGGGCATATAGTTTATTGTTTGTCTTAATGGCTGAATGCCGAAACACAAGGGTTCATGAACTAGAAGCTATCATTACGCTGTGGACACGAAGTGCTGCGGGGGAGTATGGCAGTGACATAAACATATAGAATCGATAATCGAGTGATGGTATGGGATCCCGACCTCACCCTTCTGTAAGCTACTTTGTTCAACTATGAATATTCTGACATTGAATACGATGATAACTTCACCCCAAACTCATGCATGGCCGTGCAAAAGTTTTCCGACATAACCTAATCGGGCAATAATGTGGTGTCTTGACCAATCAGATGGCTTCAACGGAAAGGCGCACAGCTTCGCATGCGGAATAGATCTCGATTCAAACCCCATAGTCTGCGCTCGACGAAAAGCTTGCACTCGGCCATGTAAACATCCTCAAGCAAAAGCAAAGAATCAGTTGACCGTCTGCACTGAGCACCAGAGCCGAAACTTGCAGCCAGCAATCTGACTGTATCATAAGAAATGTGAGACACCCCCAAGATAATCACCCGAAGTCGATGCAACAAAGTCCCCGAGCTGAAAATTCGAACGCAACATTAAAAACGTCCATGCCTGTCAGACGTCAGCAGCCCACTCTCCATGTCTCATTGAATTGACGTACGCTTTACACACAAGGCAATCCCACAAATGTCCGCCACCACAGAAATCAAGAGATGGGGCAAGACGGACTTGGATGCATTCCTCGGTAGCCTGCCCACGGAGGTAGACACGTCGACGCAGTACCCCGGCTCGTGCCTCTGCGGCGGGGTTCGATTCTACCTCGCGGGCGAGCCCCTCAAGAAGGTGTTTTGCTACTGCGATCATTGCCGCAAGAATTCGGGCGGGACTGGCCAGCAGGTGTGGATTCAACCTCGCCTCCCCATTCCCTTAGCGGGTATCTAACACACCGTCTTCTGGTTGCAGTACATCATATACCAGGCGGAGAATATGACGATTGACGATCCCAAGGGCTACAAGACCGTCTACACTATCCCGGGAGATACGGTAACGCTGTTCCCCAAGGAAAAGTACTTTTGCAGCCAGTGCGCATGCACCCTCATTGTGATGCCCCTCATGTTGGAGCGGAAGCTCGCCTTCGTTCCGACGGGTCTAATGAATCATGGGTAATTAAACTTTTCACAACATTGTACCTTTCTTTGGTTTTAGGCACCGAGAGCTTTGTACTAACTGGTTAATGGAACAGCCTGGACTACTTCAAGCCTGACTTTGAGTATTTTGCGGATAAGCGTCCGGCCTTTTTGGCTCCGATTCCTGGTGCCGGATCCTATAAGGTGCAGGCGGGAGAGCATGTACCTTTGGATGATACGTCGGTGCAGTCGTCCAAGTAGGGTTATTCTGGTGGCACCATAGTGGCGGGGAAAACGGTGTAATATATCGGACTTCTTGACCTGCCAATCCTATCAATTTGATGGCATCTCAAGGTTTCAGCATTCCTGTGCGGCCAAGCCTATGCTACACGATCATCTGGACTAGTGAGAACGAGTAGTTTCAGCATCTCACAGTACACACACCTTGATAACAGTATTGATAAACTTGGAGCAAGTGCTCCAGCATAAAGAATTATAATTCGAGTAACATGAAGCAAAGGCGACGATATATAGTCGAGATTGGTCAAGACACACAGCAAGCTGTCGGCGGAGATCTGGGTTTCTTGATTCACAACGATAGACCTGACTCCAAGTGCAGCGACTTTTGACAGCGCGTACCCTTTTACAATTGAACCAAATACAATTCGATCTACGCACTTGTCCCGATTACCATAACCCTGACGCCTTGCGTGCCCTCCTTTGGTATGGGCACGAAATAATCAGCCGCCATGTCAACAGCATCCCTGCCAGTGTCGTAGAGCTCAATATCCAGCCTCCGGAACACCGTCACTAGCCCGATAAATAGCTCCGCCATGGCGAAGTTCATCCCTAGGCACATGCGCGGGCCCTTGCCGAAGGGCACCAGATACCGCGACAATGGCTTCCAGGACGCCGTCTTTTGGTTCTCCAACCACCTCTCGGGGCGAAAGACATCGGGTTCAGGAAATATGTTGAGATCGCGGTGTTGTATATATGATGTCATGCTGAAAGGTACGTTGGGTGGGATCACGTACGATCCGTAGGTGATGGGGCCGTCGGGGCTGATGCGGGAGAGGCGCTGTGTGATGCCGAAGGCCAGTCGCAAAGCTATGGAAACACAAAGTCTCAGATTTCAATCTCTTTATTGAGGCCCATCAAGAAGTGGTGCCAAGATTTCCAAGAAATTGGAAGATACTCACATTCCTGAACGACTGCATTGAGAAAAGGAAGACTCTCCAGTTCGTGGAGGGGCGGCATAGGCTCATTGGCGCGTGGAATTCGAGTCTTCAACTCTTCGCGCAGTCTCTTGAAGACGCTAGGATTGTCCAGTATATGGAATGTAGCGAGGGCCAATGTGGTCTTGGTCGTGTCAATGCCCGCGCCTGTGATACTGGCCGCCTCATGCTTAAGGCGCTCGACGGACAGCTCCTCCGGCGGCAGATTCGACTGCAGGAGTTCGTGGAACACGGTACGATGTTGGACACCTTTATTCGAGGTGTTCTGCCCTGAAATGACCTTAATGATTTGGTCTTTGACTTCCTGGTGATGGGAGCCCACTGGTCAGAGAAACTGATTCATACTACATCCCAATGACACTGTACTCACATTGTGAAACCGGAAGACGGGGACCATCAACGGGTTGAGGATCTGGGTGACCGACTCCGGGAGCGTTTGAAGCATCGTCAAAAGCCAGGGAAAATGGCCTGCCATATGGAGAGACATGGCCAGCTTCCTGATTGAGGTCGTGAATGGCGTGACAAAATCAGGGTAGTCTATGAAATTGTACGAGATGGCAAATGTGTAATAATTGATTGCATCCGACACGAATGCCGCGTACGCCTCATTCATATTGACGGGCTTTACTTTGTCGCTATACTCGGTCGCCAATCGGTCGACCATCTTGTCGGCCATGGACTGCATCTGCGAGCTGAACCCCGCAACCTTTTGCTTCGCAAAGAAAGGCGAGATAGCGGAGCGGCGAAGGTGGTGATGGGCATGGTCGATGGTGTCAAAAGAGGACAAGTGTAGCCCGAACCGATATCGGAGCTTCTCGATCTTGCTGTACCGGGTTTTATTGTTGAAGAGGACCTCGTAAAAGTCTGGGTCGGCGATGTGAACTTCCCAAGGTGTGATTCGGACAATTGGACCTGCTCGGGGAGTCAGTATCTCGACTTTCAATCTCCACTACACCGCGAACAAGGCGTATTACCGTATTGACGATGCCATTCTTCGATCTGAAAGGTGAACTGCCCTCCCTTGAACACATCCAAGTACGTCTCATACCAACCAGTTGCTGCCGTCAGCTTAGACCCCGGGATATGCGCAATCGGGCTGAAATAAAGCCGGTATGTGATAAGGCCAGTTACGTAGATCGAATAGCCTAGGAGTAGGGCTAAAAAAATGGGTTGGGGGCTGAGAATACCATTGGTATCGATGTCTTCGAGATTCATTGTGTAACGCCAGATGGGCATCCCCCTAAACCGGTCGATGTGGCAGTCCAGTCGAAGGAGCTTTGGTCAAAGACATTGAATATTTGGACACAGTGAAGTGATCTCAGGTGCAGTACGTATTGTTCTTCCGGTTGATATTGTTTATCTTGGTGGTCAGGGACCGGGGACTTTCCGCGAAGCTGACATGTCGGGCATTTCCGAGATGCAACACCGGGCCAGTCGGGGATGGGAATCCCCAGAAGTAAGCTGGGTACATCGGAAGCTTTCTTAATGTTCACTTCAATTTGCGATAGTATTGATTTCGAATAGCAAGAAAAGGGGACAAGGCGCCTTCAGTCGAAGATTCACCCAGAGCATACAGAGCTAACGCACCTTTCGACCAATTTCTCAGCACCCCCAGTCTTATTTTCCTTCCCTCCACAGCCATCCAGTTAGAATGGCGGATATTCAGTGGTACCTTCATCCCTGGTCACTCTTGGTCTACCAGACCAGTCTGATCGTTTTCGCCGTGGGCTTCACGCGTCCGGGATCGTTGATTCGACTGGCCCTGTGGCCACTCGCTTTGGTTACGGTGTTTCGTTTTGTCGCCACAGCTCATGTCCTGAACAATGGCTTTCACATGAGCTTTGGTGCCTCAGACGCCTGGCTGACCTTTCTTCAATACTGGGATGTCGTACTTCTTAGCAACTGGGACTTCGAGTACGGCGGTCCACAGCCCAAGGCCATGGAAAAGAGGGAGACGAAGCCATGGCGTGAGCGCGCGACTTTCTGGAACCGCTTAGGCTTCGGAATATACGCCGCCTCTTCGTACCGCTGTAGCGGAACTCCCTTTGAGGTGCCGAATCTTGGACCATTTGACAAGAAGGACCCCAAATACGTGCCGTCGAAGGCCAAGTACATCCGCAACGCTGCCATCAGGGTGGTGGTTGTCTATCTGATCCTGGACGCCATGACTTCGTTCAATGATCCGGCAGCCATGCGATCCGTCTTCGCTGACGAGAAGATTCCGCTTCTGCAGCGGCTGTCGCAGCTGACACTAGAGGAAGCTATCATGCGAACGCTTACCTCGTTTTCGTTCTGGCTCGTCAACTACCTGGTTCTTATCCTCTTTTTCGACATCCCGGGTATCATATGTGTCGCAACTGGCCTGTCTGGCGTCGAGTGGTGGCGACCGCCGTTCAACTCCATCTTCGAGGCCTTCACACTGCGCCGTTACTGGGGGTAAGTGGCTCATCCCCCCTCCAAAAGGGCGCCAAGTCCATCTCTAGAGAAGTGGCACTAACGTTCGC